ACCGAGTGTGCCAATGAAGTCGGGTATACGTCATACATTGTACTATAAGGACATTTTGCCCGGACAGCGTCACTACCACTTACCTCTATTTCGAATTCTAACTGTCAAAGGTTCTTTTATTTGCACGGGATCTCGGTTTTGTGTCCTATGCGAACGACTAGACCCTGTTCCTTGCCAGGTCCTCCATCCTGCCCCGCTGACAAGAGGAAGCCGCTCCTTAAAACCCTGAGGAACTTTCTCTTGCCAGCACCGGGAGCGAACCTAAGATCCCTGCTTAGAAAGTCAGCGTCTTACATAAATTATTATTAATATCAAGCGTACGTCACAACTGTTATATGGAAAGATGAACTCCATAAAGCACTATGACGTAGGTAGTCTAGTTCGGTTGGTGCTAAATGATAAGGCCAGCTCAAGTTTTCGTCATATCTCACGAGATGTAAACAGGGCTAGCGCTAATCCCAACCCTAACCCTGGACCTAGCCCCAACCCTAACCTACAATCTCGCCAACAATCACGTACCCTAACCTTATTTACATCTTAGCAACCTTGACAAAAATTGGGCTGGCCTTAACAAATAGATTTAGCCGTCGAGTTCGTCCAACGTATATAGATAAATAATAGTACTTTATATAATATAATTATTCCGTAATAGGTCACGTGAACTCGCCAATATATATGATTTATACACAACGTTCAACCTATAAACAATGGCGGATAAATTTGATGACAAACTCAGACTTAATTCATATTAACAAGATGAGTATAATTAATAAAATTGTGACATCCCCAGGGGTTCATGCCCCATATCCCAGGGTTACGTCCGCGTCATAGTATTTATATTATATACCTGTATTTTTAACCCGTAATCAATCAACTTACTAAGCAGAGCGGTAAGTGGCGTGATTCGTTAATTACATCCCACTTCTACTCGTTGACACTGGCAACCTTTGATAAAACTGTCCTGTTTAATTGCAATACATGCTTAAAAGTATCAGAAATGTACAGAAAGAGTACTGATCATTTCTGATACACGGATACTTTTATACCGTTTTAGATATCTATCAAGCAACAAGTAGCGGACGTTTAGTCCGACCCAGATCGCAATTGATAACGAGGCTCTAACCAATGTACATGAAACAACTAGTCAAATTCATAGTAACAAAACAAAATGGGGGGAACTACATGGCAGTTCAAAAACATATACAATGACATTAAATTAACATAACAACATATTACAAAAATCAATTATTATACATACCAATTGGCATCTATTTCATAATTTGGTTTGATTTATATTAATATGCAAAATATATAAATTAGAATATTGAATAATTATTTTAATTAATTGTGATGATAGAAGGCGCAGTTCTCTTGCTGGACACTTCACAGGCATTGAAAATAAGCAGGATGAAAAAAAAAGCCTAGAAAGTCATAAACTTTATTACAAATAAATTTCAACGGAAGAACCATCCGCCGATGCATACTTTCACCAGGAATGACCCACGTTTCGCATTTCCTTTACACTACATTTAATAATATCGCAGTCCTCTACGCCATAGACATTGTTTTGACGATCTGGTCTAAACAAACACGTGGTTGTATCATAGCAAGACGCACGTGTAAATACTACTCAGGTCGTCTCTCCACTGCGAAATCATTCTACCATGAAATGTAACGTGAGGCTCAGAAAGGGATAAATAATGAAAGAACAGAAAGTATTTGTCACTTTTCGGTTGAAACGACTCGATAATAAATACTATTTTTCACATTTTGCTTCACAATACTCGATAGAAATGTGATGTAAGTAACTTATTAGCACCTTTCCTCGGTGTATCGGTGAATATCAGGACAGTTTTGGTCGGGAGCCGCCTCGGCTCCGCCTCGGCTGGGCCCCTCGACCAAAACTGTCCTGATATTCACCGATACACCTCGGAAAGTGTGCTAATAACTACTACTTACAGGCGTCTAGTACAGGTAAATTATTATATTATAAAGGTAGACATAAACTAGGTTATTTGGGGACTAACATATGGTTCAATTTCATTTCAATGGTTCGCTTGCGCGGAGGGGTCTTTAGGTGTCGGAAGAAACTGGAGGACCCGGAGAAAACCCACTAGGTTGGACAGTCGACCGTATTTCTTGTCACGTACACGCGAGGAGTCGAAACGACGCCAGCTGACTCAATGACAGACCATATGATACAACGCGTACGCGCTAACCATTCGAACATGCCCCTCGTCACCCCTGGCAAGGGTCAGCGTAGTGTCGCTATCCGGGTATTGAAATAAATTATTGAAATAAAATTGAACGTCATGCTAGTCCCGAAATGACCTAGCTTGTGTCGAGTGGAAGTTACCCCCCCCCTCTCTCTCTCTCTCTCTCTCTCTCTCTCTCTCTCTCCCTCCCTTAGCAGGACATCGTCTTGCATGGCTGCTAACAAGGGGGTACCCTGCCGGGGAAAATCCCGATGAACTTCCTGGGCTAACACCAGGGGATCCATGACGGTAACCACCTGGTTAGTAACCCAACGTCTTACTCCCTGAGCCCAACCTCGTGGGTTTTCTCCGGGTCCCCCGATTTCCTCCCACTGCTAAAGACCCCTACGCGCAAGCGAATTATTGAAATACAATTAAACCATATGTTTGTCCCGAAATGACCAAGTCTGTGTCGAGTAGACGTTAAACCCCATTTCTCTTTCTCTCTCTCTCTCTCTCTCTCTCTCTCTCTCTCTTTCTCTCTCTCTCCCTACCCCCTGATCCACCGCGTGTTAATATAATAAGGTGCATCAACAATAGACGAAGGTATGGAAGATATGATCACGTGTCTGTGCTTGTCACGGATGTAATCACCTAAAACAAGTCTTTAAACAAATCGAGCAGTGCCTTTAACAGTAAAAAGACACGTAGATGCCCCAGCACATGTGTTAACACAACAATTCATTGCTTTTTATGTTTTATGGCAAACCCTATCCTTAGAAACGTTCAACCATTGCCTTTAAAACTACTATAAAGACATTTTTGCGGGTATTTTATCCCATAGACTAAAAACCAAAAGTTAATGTTAAGTCAACATGGGGACCTATATTACACGACCATAATATTGTTGGTTAAGCTAACGTTATGCCTCTTTCAACGTTCATTCTCAAATACAGTTATGGTCGATAGCCCTCCAGGCAATATACATTATACAAGTTTTACACTAGTTTAGAGAAGAGCCAGTTTTAGAAACCACTAGACAAGTTTACGCTTTAATTTACTTGGACTGTCAAATACACCCCATCTTTTTTACTCTATTTTCGTATCTTTGCATATTTTCTAGAATTGGATACATGAATATTACCATTTTTGATTTAGCTTTATGGACTCCTCGAATAAAAAGGAAGACTAGGTGTTTTCGATAGAGTATAGATTGAAATTAGTCCTTGACGTAAACGCAAACGCACAACAGCAACGGTTAACCATGTGAACTGTTCAAACGTACAAGAGTTATCTGTGTGAACTGTTCAAACATACAACATAAACGTACAAGAGCAAGTGTTATCTATCTATGTGAACTGTTCAAACGTACAACAGCAGGTTTTATCTACAACAACATCAACGGCTATCTATGCGAACTGTACAACAATAAGTTGTATCCATGTGAACTGTTTAAACGTGCAACAAGTGTTATCTAAGTGTTATATATCTATGAGAACTGTCAAACAGCAAGTGTTATCTATCTATGAGAAACAACAATTGTTATCTATGAGAACTGTTCAAACGTACAACAGCAAGTGTTATCTATGAGAACTGTTTAAAACGTACAACAGCAAGTGTTATCTATGAGAACTGTTTAAAACGTACAACAGCAAGTGTTATCTATGAGAACTGTTTAAAACGTACAACAGCAAGTGTTATCTATGAGAACTGTTTAAAACGTACAACAGCAAGTGTTATCTATGAGAACTGTTTAAAACGTACACCATCAAGTGTTATCTATGAGAACTGTTTAAACGTACAACAACAAGTGTTATCTTATGAGAAACAACAAGTGGTACAACAGCAAGTGTTATCTATGAGAAACATGTGAACTGTTCAAACACACGAGAAGTGGTATAAGGTGCTCATACGACGTAAAATAAAAACCCGGAAATATTCTATTCATTTGATTGTGTTTTTGTGTGCTTTACGGTAATTGATACACACGTACGACACAAATCGTCAGCTATATGAATTGTCCAATACATTAGAAGTGATACCAGGTCTTCCCTCTCTGTTAATAGTTAAAGAATAATGATTATTCGATGCCACTAGCTACAGTTAGTTCTTGTGGATATAAAACAATACGGCTGATTGATAATCCATTGTTTTTTATCGGCGATATCACCGTATGTGGAAGCGAACGGCTGTCGTCCAATAGATAAATTTATTACGAAACGTTACGGTTCACATACTGGCTTAAACTTGATCTCGTCACGTGTCAACAAAACAGTCCCTTATTTCTAGCCTGGTGTTGTATGATTGGTTCAGATGACTTCTACTCGATAAATCACCGACCTAGCTGTTGTGTTCATTGGAAAAGAAACTTAAATATGTTTGGAAAATTTTAATTCTGATATATACTCCCATTGACACTGTCCATAATAGCCAAGTTATATTTCTGAGAAACGGTTTATGTGTTTATACGATAACATCAGAAAGATTAACATACAGTTATTGCAGTGTTTAATGTGCCTGTTTGATAGTGTCTATCCATCCGTGAAGATGTCTAACTGTCATCCTCTGATGAGTAGAAATAATTGATCACCTTGAAGGATATTGAGATAGTATTGAAAGATTGAATAGAAAAGATATTTTTATTTTGACATTTTGGGAGACTAATAAGTTAATGAATACATGCAAATCAATAAATAAATAAATAAATAAATAAACTAGTATTTATAGACATGTCATTAAATGATTTAGTTAAATAGTAAACATTTATAATCTACCGTTAGCTGCATCTAAAACACTTGACTCGTTAACCCTCGGTCACGTGATACACGGTGTACTCCATTCAGTTTTACCTGTGCACAGCAGACGAGAGTGGTGTCTCTGGTCGACTCCATTGAAAAGCTGGACAATAGTATTGAGAGCAGCTAGATAATTCGTGAAAATATAGTCAGTAACAATTGGTTGATATTATAATACCTATATATATGTTTTGTTATGGTTGGTTGAATAGTATATATATATATATATATACAACGCACATACAGGTAACAAGACAAACAGGTAGCAGGTACTTGGAGTGATATATATAATATACCGATTCTGTGAGTTACCTGTTTTAGAAAACTTAGTGTTTAATTCAAAATTCCAAATGAAGTAAATTATACAATTTGTGAGGTATACAATGACCATATAAAGACGTATTGTGACGTAGAGGTTATTGTTGAGAAATACCTGTGTTTTAACTTCTAATGGAATAACTATATATTTACTATAACAACTCAGTGATTATGGATCTACACGTATTTTGTGTTTTATTCTATATAATATGTACATATTGTACTATATACACATCAGCCCAGACAGGTAAGTCTAATATTACCTATCTTATAAACGTGGTGGGGGGGGGATATATATATTTATGTATAGTACCAAGTCTAATATATATATTTATGTGTAGTACCAAGTCTAATATTAACTAACTTATAAACGTGGTTTGGGGTGGGGGGATATATATATTTATGTATATCTAATATTACCTATCTTATAAACGCGTGTGTGTAGGGGAGGGGATATATTATATATAGTACCAAGTCTAATATTAACTAACTTATAAACGTGGTTTGGGGTGGGGGGATATATATATTTATGTATATCTAATATTACCTATCTTATAAACGCGTGTGTGTAGGGGAGGGGATATATTATATATATTTATGAATAGTCCCAAGACGGACGAAAAGTACTTTAATATGTTATTAAACCAGTGTTGAAATCAGTTTGTGTCGGCATACACCGTGAAGCAAACTAGTTCAGCTTTACTGCCGTGCTAATATTTTTGGATAGATATAATATTAGCTATGATTTGGATATATATATAATATTAGCTAAGTTTTGGATATATATATATAATATTAGCTATGTTTTGGATATATATATAATATTAGCTATGTTTTGGATATATATATAATATTAGCTATGATTTGGATATATATATAATATTAGCTATGATTTGCTTGATAAAGACGAGAGGACCGTCGTCGAAGCGTCGCTAGAAATAAATTTTTCAAGTAACTTGTATTCCATATAATTGTGCCATGTGTTATTCTCAGTTCTAAATTAACCATTAAGCCAAATAAGCTGGGCCGTAACTAGCTCAGAGCAACGAGGGGGCGGGAAATGTTCTCGGGGGTGCTGTAATATTGACTGCCAATGTGTATCTATTTTTTTATGGTCGAAAATTTTTTCACGGGGGGGGGGGGGGCGAAACTTTTTGCGGGGGGGGGGGGGGGGGGCTTCGTTTTGCTTTATCTTGATCGTCGAAACAAAATAGATGCCAAAATCGTTTCATGTCAACAACAACAACATCCCGGTAATACTGACCCCATCAGTGCTCATTATTGATTTAAGCGGAAGATAAATCGAAAGTAGCGATTTAACCTCGGGTCATCCTTTCATTGTTTTAATCAAGTTAAGTTTTGTCAAGGAGACAATACAACAATAACATTAATAATAACATTTTCACATTTCAATGGTATTTTAGCGGGTGTATATAGATGCCACAGGGGTTCGTGACCATAAAATACTTCCCCTTAATCCACGTAAGATAGCCACAGGCCGTAAATGGAAAAACATTTGCGAAATCATTCTAATATACGGGAGCAAGTTTCTGCTGTATAAGATCTTGTCTGCGATATCTGTACTGTGGAAGCAGACGTTACACGATCTATATAGACTAATACGCTTACTCTACTAGTAAGTGCAGGAGGACCGCACTACACCCCAAAACAAAAATCTACAAGATAAACCTGCGGACAAGACAGAAAATCAAGTGATTGGATCAGCTGGGTCAGCCGTAAGCGTCCACTGCGCTGTACAGTTTCAAATTTGAAAATAATCTGGATTACAAAAAAGACATAACAGACATAATGCGAACTGCAACCATTCTCTTTCTGAAACATTTATTACAGCAGTTTAAAATACAGACCTATATTTCGTTTGTGGGCTGCAACTATTTCTATTGAAATCGATTTCAATTTGATAAAATCTAATCGACCAAGTCAAGGTTGTTATCCATGAGTTGTGATTTACAGAGGTGACGTTTTTTTGTGTTACACATGACAAATGTCCAACATATTTCATTTGTAGTATTTTTAGGTTTTTCTTGTTATTTTTTTTGTTATTATTTTTGTTCTGCATCGTTCAACAATTCCCCTCGGGCTAGATTATATCAAACTGTCAAAACCTAAACAATAGTTCCGTCAAAGATGACGTTTCCCAGATATATTGGTGTATGCGTTTTTATTTCACCTTTTGAAAGACGTTTCTTTTTTCTCTGTGGATGATATTACACTTTGTTATGTATCGGATACTATCAAACAGTCTACTTTTCCGACGTGGTTTTCCCTTGTCAGTGGTGCAGGACGGAGGACCTAACAAGGACAGCTGTCTAGTCGTTCGGATAGGAAGAAAAAAAGGAGGTTCCGTGTACACATTGGGGTGCACGTAAAAGATCCCTTTGTAGTTGGAATTCGATATAAGAGTAGACCATAGTGCCGCTGCCTAGGCAAAATATCTCTCATAGTACACTGTATGGCGTCTTCATTAGCCCATTCGGAGCAGAACAGTAGGACGTCAAACCCCATTTTATTTCATTTTAAGAACAATATAGTGTATTTTAAAGATACATTATGTAAGATTTACTTTGTTCTGGGCGAAGTTTTGACTGTTTGAAGATATAGCGTAGATCGTAGGAACGGTACTGTACAACCGATTATCCATTTATCGTCAAATTTTTAAATCTCGTAGGTGTTCAAATCCATTTAAATCTCAGCCATCCGATGTTCTAGAGAGATGATTATAGGCTTCTCATATGAATAAATGTCTAAATAATAGTTTATATAACATTTGAAGCCAAAATAAAAAAAAAACCTGCAATAGGCAGATATGGGGCTTACATAATGTATGTTCACTAGAGACCATATTAATACTGTATTTTAAGAGAAGAAGTCGGAATTAATATCAAATTCATCGTCGTACTCCATCCAAGTGATGTCAGATACTCGTCATCAAAGATGAGCCCATTGAAGCCTAAACGTAAGGGCCACATTCCCTAACTCCCCGAGGGGGCCCCTAAGGGAGCTTTAATCCACAGTTTTCAATCTAAACGAATGGTAAGTCTACTATAGTGACCAGATCTTTATTAGATAGCTAATTGTACATGTAGGTCTGCTGTAGTGACCAGACCTTTATTACATAGCGAATTGTGGGTCTACTGTAGTGACCGGACCTTTATTACATAGCTAATTGTGGGTCTAGGGTAGTGACCATAGCGAATTGTAGGTCTACTGTAGTGACCAGACCCTTATTAAATAGCTAACTGTGGGTCTAGGGCAGTGACCAGACCTTTATTACATAAAATATGTAAGTTTAGTGTTAATAATGCCGTGTTTGTTGTCCTTGGTGGATGATGCAACAATACAATAAAATCTTATCCCAAGTACAATTATTGAATTTAACTAGTGCTAATTTCGGGGCGGGGGGCGGGGGGAGGGGGGTGACGGGGTGGGGTGGGGTGGTGAGGGAGGATTCTTCTGTCATGAACGAACCCCAGAAACACGATAAATGTCAACACAAAGTATAATTTTATGGATACACAATTACTGAGTTTAATACTAAGCGACGTTTCGACGAGGATACTCTTAGTATTAAATTGTGTATCCATAAAATTGCACCTTGTGTTAATATGTTCAATTACTAAATGCCAATCAAAGACAATAAATGTCGTTACCAGATCTGTTGTTGGTTGTGATGGACCCCACAACAGTTCAAGCTTCACCCAAAATGTGGGTCCGCCATTGCTCGTTATACACATAAAGTTACCCAACATTAATTCAGAAAATATGTATAGAGATGGAGTAAGATTTTAAGAACCTTTTTGGAAATTAAAGAATTAGATACGTGCATTTAATCAATGGTTTTCATTTTATGGGACTGGTTATACTAGACTTAACCTTTGTATGAACAATATGGACTGGTTATACTAGTCTAAACTTTTATGTAAACAATATTTATATATATATATAATATATCATTTCCATAAAGGAAAAACACGTACCGGTAAATACAAGCCTATTGTACCGCTTAACGTAAAGTTTATTTCATCAAATTGTATAAAAACACAAAAACCAAAAAATAATTTGTGGCAATGTACTTCGTATGTACTGAGTCCCCTCACAAAAACCACAAGTTGACACTCTTCAACCTGGCGTTTACTTTGACACATTAAAATCAACATACCTGCATATATATACATACAGGTAGATTGTCTTATATACCTACAGGGAGCCGCGCTGGCTCAGTGGGTAAGACGTTGGCTCAGTGACCTGGAGGTCTACTGTTCGATCATGTTGTGGACTGATATAGTTCATCTATACTGATGTCCAAAAGAAAGTATACACACTAAAAGTATGACCAAGTTTTGATTAGATTAAAAACATTTGATAAAGCTTTACCGAGTTTGTCTCTTCCGTCCAAACTCAACATTTCTAAGCAAAATAAAAATGTGAAACAAATTGACATTCTACCCAAATACCGTATACCATGGAAAAACGACTTTGGTTGATGCAGCACAAAATGCACAGTGTATACTTTCTTTTGGACATTAGTATAGCTCAGTGAGTAAAGTTTATCAAGAGCTGCCGAGTTCGACCACCGTGTTGGTCGAGAAATTTCATCGGGTTTTCCATCGTGGGTTGCCCTTATCAGTGTTGTAGGACAGAGGATCTAACAAGGAGAGTGTCCAGCCCTTCGCATGGGAAGAAAGACAGGTCCCGTATACACATTGTCGTGCCCGTAAGAAAACCCTTGGCAGTTGGAATTCGATATAAGAGTAGGCCATAGCGCACTGTCATTGAGTCAACTGGCGTGGTTTCGATTCCCCGGTAGTACGTGACAAGCCTGTCCAACCTCGTGGGTTGTTTCCGGGTCCTCCGGTTTTCTCCCACTGCTAAAGACCCCTACACGCAAGCGAATTTATTGAAATAAAATAATTGAACTATATGTTAGTCCCGAAATGACCTAGTTTGTTAAACCCATCTCTCTATATATATATATATGAGAGAGAGAGAGAAATGGGGTTTAACGTCCACTCGACACAAACTAGGTCATTTCGGGACTAACATATGGTTTAATTTTATTTCAATAATTCGCTTGCGCGTAGGGGTCTTTGAGCAGTGGTATGAAACCGGAGGACCCGGAGAAAACCCACAAGGTTGGACAGGCGACCCTAGTCCTTGTCACGTACAACCGGTGAATCGAAACTACGCCAGTTGACTCAATGACACAGTATGATACAGGGTGCGCAC